ATACCTTTGAGATATTATTTTTCATTTTGAAAATCAATTAATTTTATTAGTTAATAAAGGAAAAAAAAATAAATTGATTAATTTAAAAATTATTGTTTAATATAAAACTTATTTGAACTAAAATATTAAAATTAATTCTTATTTTATTATCATAATTAAAGATTTATTTTTCTTATTTGATTCTAAGATCTTAAAAAGAAAATCTTAATTTTATTTTTAGATAATTTTATACAACTATTTGATTATTGATATTGCAGTATATTATAGAGTTTAAAGAACGACTATGGCCATTCCAGATGCTCAAAAGGGACTTATTACTATATTTGATTATGTTAATAAGAAGATTATAATGAGTTTGTGGGATCATAATCTTATATTCTATTAAATAATATTAAAATTACAGCTTTGTATGAGATTTTGATTTAACTTCTATATTAATAAGAACTAGAGGAGATTAGATTTTGGAATTAAAAACTAGTTAATTGAAAGGAAAAGTAAATGCACATTTTGATGGAAGCATTAATATTTCATCTTTAAAAAATGTATTTTAAACATCTGGTATCCAATGGCAAGTAGTTGTTACAGAAGATATAAAGAACTTAGTGGACCTATTAATTGGATTTAATTTTATATGGAAACTGAAGCAAAATAATATGTAATTTGTGTAAAAGGCCATCATGGTTTGGTAATATAAATAGATGAAACTACAATTTTAGATATAGAAACAGAGAAATTATTTGGGATTAATTTTTAATAATAGAAAAAGGAATTCCTAAACAATAATAAATTAAAGCTGATAAGATTTCTTTAAAACCATGGGCTTCTAATATTAAAGAACCTTCTTCTTATAATAAAGATTCAATAAATTAAAATACATTACTATGAATAGATCTAGAATGAGAACATGCATTTAGTTTTTGAGGAAATGATTGTAAAAATAATATTAGGTTTTTAAATCCTAGGAATATTTTCTATCATACTGCCTAATAGGCATAGTTATGGATATATAGGTAAACTAACAGAAGATTTTTGATTTAAATTAGGATGGTATAAGAAGTGCAACTGGAGAAATTAATACCAAAATCATATTTGTTTGTGATAGCAATACTTTATAAGAAATATGCAAATTTTGTTAATCTATATAGTCTATGCATCTAATCTTTCATTACATTCTGAATTGTTAGCATACCTGTTCTATCAATATCAGCACAAGTTAAATCCCTACAAGTTTCAACCAGATGCGATAAAACATTAATTTTATTTATCTATATAATCACTCCAATTAGCCTTCAATCGAATACATCCATTTTTAGTATAATTAACTGTAGATTATTTATCAATAAAAATTGCCCCATAGCATTTAATTATGAGTATCATATAAGATGATAAATTAGCACAAGTTTTATCTTTACAATTATCATTCCAAACACAATGTCCATTACTTTTAGTTCAAGTACTCCAATATCTTTACAATTGGCATTAATAATAATTGTGATTACCCTTTGACACATCATGATGTGCTATTGTGTTATGCGTGTTTTATCTTAACAAGTTCCATCTTGAGGCACCCAAAGACAATCAGATTCTGTATTTCCATATTTTAAATACAATTGTTTAATGTCTTTCTATCTTTACAAGTAAATCTAAGTAAGATGCATCCTTTGAATTCAGGGATGAATTAGGATTATTTGATATAAATTTTATTGCATTTACATTTAAATCTTTTCCTATTTATTTTAATAAAAATTATTAGTATTCAACTATACAAATTTAATATATACATTTAGTTTCATTCCAACCAAATTTTATGTAAATGAGTTTTCAAATTTACAATCTTCACAACAATTACCTCCTTTTTTACAGTGACTATGGGTACCAAAAGTATGTTTTATCAGAATTATTGATTTTGCATGCATTCTAGATTGATGCAGAATTACAATTGCCATTATTTACACATCCACCTCTCCTCGTTGCTATAAAGTTAAATTTTGAATGTATTTTAACTAAATCCTAGCATTATTAATTTTTATTAATGTTATTGGAGCAGCTTCCCAATTCAATATAATACAGAATTTTTTTCATCCCTTAACCTTTACTGTGAACTTTACAATTTTAATAGCTTCTCTGTAGTCTTTATCAGATTTATATTTTGTTGGTAATTATTCGGATTTATCAGCATTAAAACAATTTTTGCAAAGACATGTTTTTTGGCTATTAAAACATGATGTTTCTATGAAGATAAGTATCACAAGAATTAATCGACACAAAATGAAAACCATCAGTTATGCAATCTATTGAATCTGCTTAACAAGAATCTAAATTATCTAAATCGAAATGCTGCACATCCTGCGAAATGAGTCGAAGCCTTTTCAACTCAAACACATCCTAATTTATTTGCATAATCAACCTATGAAAATGAAGATAATAATATTCAGATTATATTTATTTAGTTTATAACAAAATATATGAATCCTGATTTAGCATTTTATTATGAGAACGATGTTGTTTTTATGGCTGAATTAAAATAAATCCTATTTTATAAAGGAACGAGAACTGTAATTATTGATTCATTTTATAAAGTTAGAAAAGTCATATTAAATGAGCATTGAGGATAATTGTATTAGAACTCGATATATATAATGATTTATAATACTAAAATAATTAATAGATAAATAATCATTTTTAGTAGAACTTTAACAAATCCATTTTTTTAAGTTATTGGTTATCTAATCATTGATAAAATAATATTTCCCTCCTCTCTAATAAATATAATTCATCGAAAAGATTCCTAAAAACTATTATGAAAATAGTTATTCGTATTAAATGATATAATATTTACAAATCTCTAATGTAAATTATATTAAGGGAATTTATCACGAT